CCACGGTTTGGCAAAAAGAAGCGGGACCTAGCTATTTTCTTGTTATCCCAAATTTGTTCAGATTTCCAACTTTTTTTTCCCAAAAAAAAACTTTTAAACCTTTTCTCTTAAAAATACAACCCCCCAGGGTGTCAAAACGTCAGTCAGTGTCAAAAAAACGCCTAAACCCGACTACCCTCCCCCCCCCCCCCCCCCCCCCCGGACAATCATATTCTACCTACTTATGACACGATCCGTGGCTTCAAACCATATTCTATCAAAAACATAGTTTACCTTTGGGGCACAGTATAAATCCTTGATAAACCTAGCCCGCCCGGTACAGGTGGCTGGATATGCATCTTACTCGTCAATAATGCATATATGCCAGTGGTCAATCTTAAAGGTTTTAGTTTATCACCCAAGGTGATGAACTAAAAAAGTACCAATCGTTTCAAGAACTAGCCTTCGATAGAGGCTCCATTTCTGTTGTTAAGCAACAGAGAGAAATCAGAAAGATCGCTAATTTGAAACATAAAATTTGCATCTGTTTTCAGTCATCGATAATGCTAAACCAAGCGCTTTAACAACTCACCCGGATGTTGATTAGACATGATGTCCTCACACAGTGCCTACAAAAAAAAAGGACTGGTTTAGAAACCTAACTCCAGGAAAATCTTCGACGGACGTAATAATAGGAAAAGCATAGGGAAAACCAGTGAGAAACAAAGTGAATCATAAACAGTCGCGTCCAATACCATTTAAATCTAAAATTAAAGTCACAAACCGATCAAGAAGCCTGAGAAAAAAGCCGACATTACGCGACGCTACCACTGGTTTCCCCGCGAAATGACGTCTGAGCGACAAGCGCAGAAATTCCATGCTAATGACGTGTCACTACACAGATCTGGGTAGTGCTTTTAATTGGTTGAAGAAAATATCCCTCACGACGAAACCAATGGGCATCAGTATGGAATTTTAACGCTCGTTTCTCAGACGTCATTTCACAGGGACACCAGTGGTGGCATCGCGAAATGTCGAAAGTTTTCTCAGGCTACCGAGAAAAAAATTAAACACGATCAAAACAGATATGACACTAAACTGGTCTGCTTCAATACCTGAATCCAAGTCTGGGATATCCGAAAGTCAGGTCCTTTAGCATAAGCACAGCAAAAAGGCGAACTGGTAACAGGAACATAATGAGCACAGTCATCATGAAGACAGTCTGTTGTTTGATGCCAGTAACACTTTTTAGTCTCAGGGTCGACTCTGCCAGGGCAAAGTTTACATTGACCACAAAGTTGCCATGACACGGCACGCAGCCAATGACATTCACGCTTTAATCTCTCAAGGCTCGATCTTAACACACTGAAAAGAAAACGTCAAGATAAGGTTCATTCAAAACGAAAAGTAAGTCGCAAACTGGTACACAAGACACATCTCGTGAGACGTTGCACCGAAACAATGGATGACCATCGATTCAAACATCCTAGAAGGCAAAAAGGCAGTTAATTGGAAAGAAATTTTCAAGACGGGGATCATGCCCCTGAGCACTTGTTTTACCGAACGAGGTCTGGAAGCAATTCAATTGCATGCGTCTGATTTGC